GCAATACTAATATAATTATATTTTATAATTAATCAATATCTGTTTTATTGGTAAGACAACTTTTCTTGAATTATATTGTAGCTTTGGATAAATTTTTTGAAGTGAAAACTTCTTGTGATTTGAAACTCGATGAAACAAAAAACCGACACTTAAAAGAAACAAACATATCCTCATACATCTATAGGATTTAGCCTGCGAGAGAATGAGATAGAATACATAATATATTGTTTATTATAAATCTATTTATATTTTAATTACATGAACCCAACTCCTGATTCTCTGCATTCGTCTCATTGTCTAGAAGTTTAATTATTTTAAATATTCACTTTTATCACGTTTGAATGGCACATATATATTCTTTCATTTATATTTTTCAAAATAAGTATAATTAAGTAATGAAAATTTTGCTTATACTATTTTATAAAACTAGGGTGACAAACGATTACAAACTTCACCTGATGTTAAGTAGATACTGTGATCCATAGACATCTATTTATCCTCTTGGTCATCGATCGTTGTCACCCTTGAGGACTAAAATGGCTGCCTCGTTTTCAGTTAAAAGGTTATTTACATGCCATATGAAACACGACAGCATTGAGCTGCTATTTTACGCTGGTATCCTTAAAATATCAGTTTAATGGTTCTTACTATTTTTAATTTATTTATTTGTTTAAAAAAAGTTACACCATATATACGTCCCACTGCTGGCCACAAGCCTCTTCCCATTTGTCTGTCTGTCTGTATCTCAGCGTCAAAACGTTGTAAGCACGCACGTAACGGTGATATAATTTGCGGCAGAAAGCGATTAATTACATACGATACAATGCAACATATACAGGAAATTTTCGTTTCATTCGCAAATGGACACCTGAATCAAAAAAATGTTAACGCATATCTCCAATATTTTTGTAACATCTATCCAAGTATGGAATAGACGAGTGAAAAAATCACCTGTATCCACCAAAAAAATCGGAGGTATCCAAAATAAATACGAGTATGTTTTTCAAGATTTTATTTCACAACTTATTAGGCGTAATTATAATATATATATATATACCGAGTCGAGGATAGGAGGGCTTCGCTAAGCTCTGTAGTAATGGTATAATAAATTAAATTTTGAAATAATACTAGTTTTTACGGAATTTATCGCGTATATTTAACTTTTAATACCCGACGTTTCGAACGCTTTACAGCACTCATGGTCACGGGCAGGACTGAGATGTTCAACGTCCATATGTCATAGTTAACCGCGGTTACCATAGATTAAAATTTAACTTTTGTTCCGATCTATGATGCGTATGTATGATGTATATGATGCATAGATCGGAACAAAAGTTAAATTTTAATCTATGGTAACCGCGTGTTAACTTGACATATGGACGTTGAACATCTCAGTCCGCGTCATGAGTGCTGTAAAGCCTTCGAAACGTCGGGTATTAAAAGTTAAATATACGCGATAAATTCCGTAAAAACTAGTATTATTTCAATGTGTAGTGTTCGCGTAAATATAAGAAATCATTAAATTAAATTTTATTATATAACTTCGCCCAACTTTCGTTCGCAACTCAGCCTTATCTTGTTTTCTAGGGATTGGTTGAGTGACATGTACATAATTACACTTGTATAAGTAAAAATGTTTAAGTTTTCCTTAATTAAATTTCATGACATTTTCATTATTTTCTTGTGCATAATATATAAACACTACCGCCTGTCACTCAGCGGGGTAGGCAGAAACTACAAACTGATACACCACTCTCGGCTCGTTTACATCCATATATCTACGCATACGTAACGGACTGCTTTATCAATCTATCTTAACAGGAAAATGCTGCTACCACTATTTCGTTTTAGTTTCCCTCAAATAATTACATATTATTTTTAAATTTTCATGCATTCCTTTTAGAATAAAACAGAATTATAAGCTAAAAATATATTGGTTAAAAAATTGCACATCAAATTTATAGCATGAATCGAAAACCTTATCACACCATTTTAGCAAACAATACATTTGCATAATAAATAGATGGCTTAATATCGTTAAACTATTACTACCCTGCAGTCCAGTGCATTTAATTTCCTATAAGTTGAATATATGGGAAGTTTATTTATGTTACTGAAGTATATTAATTATTGAGGTGGAGTAGGGATACAATAAAAAAAATCGAATGATATGTAAATTATGGGGGACCAAAATAAACAGCCTTTTTATGTTGTATCCTACTCAACCTTTTATCCTATAAGCGTTTATCGGGTGCGAGTAAAATGAAAACAATAAGTGCCTCTGTTTTAAAACTTGTAGCATTATAATACATCCTACGCAATTGATAGGTCTAAATATTAAATTTCTGTGAGAACATCATAATTCAGCAAATTCATTATTAACAAGCGGCTTGTTAATAACGAGTTCGTTGAGGTAAGGTGTTATATTTTTTCACGACTTGATTACAAAACGCTAGGTCTAGCGGTCACAATCATGATTACTACGAGTAATCATGAGGTACCGCGTTCGAATACCGGGTGGAGCGGAAGTTAATTTTCGTGTTTTTTTTCTGTCAATATATTCTCAGTAGCATCTCGGAGTCAAGAAGATGGCGGTGTCTCACCTCCGCGCATCGAAGCCGTTGTTTCTGCCCCTGGTCTCCCTCCGGTAGTGTTGTATTGCCATTCCATCGGACTATGAGCAACTACGAGAGTGAGGGGAATAGACAGTTCACCTGCACACATACACGCGGACACTATAATAAGCCTGATCTGTGCAGATGGCTAGTCTCTCCTGAGACCGGCCAGCTGCTGGAAATTCGGTCAGGATGATATTATTATATTATTACTTATACATATAATTATATATTTCTTTTTGTATCTATATAGTTTTCTCATCTGGTTGGGATCTATAAATATATAATTATAAATGAAAATGAAAAGATAAATATATACATAAATATCAATAAAATAAAATAAATACAAAAATACATAAATAAATAAAAGCCCAACCAGATGGAAGCCCTCGGCAGGGGAGACCAAACGGCCGAGGGTTAGGGGGAAAGGGAAAGAAACCGGCGGACGATGCGGGCAGTATCAAGGAGCACCGCCTTCTACATTTGAGCCCGGAGCGGTCCGTCACGGAGTCCCAGTCGTCTCAGATGACCAGAGAGGCTAACTGGGATTAGCCCCTTCGCAGAGACGACTACAGGAATAATTTCGGTCGGCAGACCACCCCACATGTCGGTCACCTCGTGAGCCAGTTCCAGATATTTTGATTGCTTATCTGTTTCAGCTTTCACGAGGTTCTCGTCATACGGGATGGTAATATCGACCAAAAATATCTTTGACTGTGCCCGGTCCATCAGCACAATATCAGGCTTATTCGCAAGAATAGTCCTGTCTGTGATGATGGACCGGTCCCAGTAGAGCCTGGCGCGGTCATTTTCGAGCACGGCTTCCGGCAAGTACTTGTAATACGGCAATTTTCGGTCCACGAGACCGTATTTCAGAGCGAGCTCCTGGTGAAGAATTCTGGCTACTAGGTTGTGCCTGTGCAAGTACTCAGAGTCAGAAAGCGCCGAACAACCGGAGATGACATGCCTAAGCGACTCACTAGACAGACGTCGACGGTGCCATCGTTTAAGATGTATCTCCGATAGTTGTTGGTCTTAAAAACCTGATCCTGTATTGCACAGACAAAACCCTCGGTTTCCCCGAAGAGGTCACCGAAACGTAGCCAGTTGAGGGAGGCGACTGTATCTACGAAGGGCTCATGAAGAGCCCTGTAGTACTCCCCGTGGAGCTCCTTCTCCTTCCATACGGTCTCCCGGTCGAAAATGCTAAGCACTGCTGGGTCCTGCAATTGCTCGAGGGCTAAGGATAGAGGGGTAAGCCCTTTATCACTAGAAATGACGTCATTATAGAATGGATCATCCGATCTCGCCAGGAAGTAATCAAGGAGGCTGCACACTTCGCGATTATGCATGGTGAGCGCGCTCAGAAAACCACGCCCACCATGCTTTCGCGGCAAGTACAGCCTCATTACCGACGATCTCGGATGATGCATCCTATGGGACGTCATTGTAGTGCGGACTTTTCTATCCAGGGCGTTAAGTTCAGTCTGACTCCACCTGAGTATGCCAAAGGTATACATAAGGACGGGCATGACCCAACCGTTATATGCGTGTATCTTATTCACACCGGACAAAAGGCTGTTAAGCACTTTGGTCAAGCGTGCATAAAACACGTCGCAAACTGACTGTTTCATACCAGCCTCATCGATACCGATGTTCTGTGACATACCCAGGCATCGGTATGTTTCAGCCTCGGAAAGGGTCTTTAGGTTGACGGGCATAGATAAATCTATGCCCTCAGAGTTAGCAACCCTTCCCCTTTCAACATGAAGGACCGCACACTTATCCGTCCCAAGCTCCATTCCAATGGAATTGCTAAATTCACAAGTGATGTTTAGCAATTCCATAAGATGGGAGCGACTGGAGGCGAATAACTTGAGGTCATCCATATAGAAAAGGTGGGTCACTTTTGTCCCTCCTTTTTGTAGCTGAAATCCCCTCCCGGAGCCCTCCAGTAAGGTACTGAGAGGGTTCAGAGAGAGGCAGAACCAGATTGGACTCAGACAATCGCCCTGGAAGATACCCCTTCTTATTCTTATGTGGTTCTCCGCAGCCATCATCCGCTCGCCCAGATAACAGAGGATCGTACTCCACTGCCCCATACACTGCTCGAGGAAGTCTCTAATTGTACAGTCAATCTTGTACAGCTCGAGGACCCTCTTTAGCCATGTATGGGGCACCGAGTCGAATGCCTTTCTGTAGTCTATCCAGGCGGCGGAGAAGTTCCGGCGGTTGCGTTTCACCACTTTGCCAATGACCGCGTCAATGAGGAGTGGTTCCTTGGTTCCACGACCACCGCCCCGACATCCGTTTTGAGCGCGTGACATCACCTGATTTAGCTCCAGGTGACGAGTGATTCTCGCGCTCAAAATGGATTTCAGTGTCTTATATATAGTGGATAGACACGTGATGGGGCGGTATTTGCTCCGGGTCTGTGGTATCCTGATCTTTAGGAACCAAGTGAGTCATCCCAGTTGTGAAGAGGCTCGGGAGCGACTTCTGATTGAGAGCCTCTTGATATTGTCGGGCGAGCATAGCGTGACACACTACGAACCCCTTCAGCCAGTAATGATGCAGCCCGTCGAGCCCCGGACTTTTCCAGTTCGGGGCCCTACGGACCGCCTCAGCCACGTCTTCAGGCGTTATGGTGACGGGGTCCATAGGCGTAACACTTGCACTCTGGCTCGCCACAACTTCTATCCAAGGGCCCTCGCTGTGGTTTACGGGCTCTGACCACAGGCCACGCCAAAATGCGACAGTGTCAGCCTGATCCGGTCCTGGGCCCGCTCCACATACATTAAAAGGCGTCGGGAAGTAACGACCCCATCGCCCGCTAACGTAACAGTTATGTGACAAAACTACTACGTCGGCGCAGTCAGTCAGCGCCCTGCCAAGAGGTGTGAGCGCCGTGCCTAGGCAAAATTGTGGGTGCAAAAGTCCGTTTGTGCATATGACTGAACCACGAAACGGTGCCGGGCTTGGGCGTCTCCCGTTATTTGGCGTCCATAAATGGATGATGGTACAAAGAGGAACGCGCATAGGGCCGCTGCCTGGGGGTCGCCGGGGCGCGTCTGGAGCTGGCGCTGGACGCGGCAGCCGAGCACGAGGAGCTGTACGATCACCTAGCAGCCCTCCGCATCCATCATCCCCACCAGAAGGCTTGGTGTCGGCTGAGTCTTCTTGGACTCAGCAAGCGGCACCCGCCGCTGGTGGAGCACGTTGCATGCGTTGGTCACAAACAATGAACGCAAACGCACTGCGGGCGTACTTTAGGGCAAAAGGGAAAGAAACCGTATGTTTGGCATATCGGGCTCGGATGCATCGCTTTTTTTGCAGAGCTGGAGCCATCTCTATCCGTCACTGAGCAAAATCTGGCAGACCGAGTTCGATACATAATAATGATATAATAATAATTATATATTATTATTATATCATTATTACTTATACATTATTATCGTATTATTATTATATCTTATTTATTGCAAGAAAACCTTACTTATCTCTTTTAATGATGATTAAAACCATATCAAAATCCAACCGGGTGATTTTAAAGATCAAACGGAATTTAATGGTAATGAATTACAGCAAGTAATTTTTTAAAATTAAATTAAAAATGTTTATTTCAATTACACAATGTTTTAACATACATGATCTGGAGAACACATTTTGAGCAAGGAGATGCTTGTGTAGGGTGACTCCGCTCTTCCACTTAACATTATACAGAGTATGCAATTGATATTAAAAAAATAAAAAAATAAAATACAAAAAGGATATGAAGCGCACATGAGTGATGTGTGCGTGCGTGCGTGCGTGTGTGCGTGCGTGCGTGCGTGTGTGCGTGCGTGCGTGCGTGCGTGCGTGCGTGCGTGCGTGCGTGCATGCGCGCGCGCGCGCTATGTGTGTGTGTGTGTGTGTGTGTGTGTGTGTGTGTGTGTGTGTGTGTGTGTATGAGTTAAATTAGTATTCATGTGTGTAGATATAAGTTTTATTTTTAAGTTTAGGTTAGCCCTGCGACAAAATTAGCCAGGCACTGCTTCTTTCCACTAACGGTTTCGTTACTGAGGTTATAACGGTTTCTAGACGGATTATGAAAACGATGCAATGCCATTGCCTCAATATCATCATAGGTTTTAGTCTTAGGCCATTCTCGCGATACTTCATAGGTTAATTTATGCGATTAATTCTTTACACCGCTAAAATTGTTAATGAAATTAAAACCAAAGCTAGGTACAGCCTTTGTATCCCCCTTGTTAGTAACTTTGAAGCAACCTGCATAATTATGCATAAATGAGAAGTTAAGTTTTTTATGACATGGTGTGAAATCCGTTGATTCGTAGAAGATCTTCGAACAAAGAAGAGGCATGTGCTCGGCAGCGAAACAAGTTTTGTAAATTTTTTGTTACACAAAATGATGTTCACGTCCCTTGTATCCACTAAGTTTCATTTAACTAAATGTTGTAAAATGAATGATACTATGAAAACACCTTCTCACGTTTAACTAATACCATCAAGATTAAAATGATTTAATGTAATTTTAATACAGCTCGTATTGAGGAAGCGATTGAGCGGAACCAGGGCTCCAAAGTCTTTGCCAGAGATCTGTCTGCCAGAATGATCCAACAATAGAAGCTGTAGACCGAGTGTGGCAGCATCGTTTCCGGGACACATGAGATTTTGAGTGGGATTGAGAGGATCTATGCGCAGTTGTACATGCCATCATTAGAGCCGCATGCAAGTGTGGGTAAAGCCAAAAGAGCAAGTCTTATCCAACACTATTCCGATGAAGTCTTAGCAAGTACTTGAAGTCCTTCGAACGCTCTTTAATTTCTTCCTCCATGGTGGCACTACGCCGGAGGCGTGGGACACTAGTGCGATGGTCTTGTTATTTAAGAAAGGTGAGAACGCTGTCTTAAAGAAATACAAAGCGATTTCTCTTCTGAGACGCGTCTGCGTGCTGTTTCCGAGAGTCATTATAGATCGTCTCGCACGCAGGCTCGACGACTTCCAGTCTCACGAACAAGCCGGTTTCCGAAAAGAATTTAGTACCACAGACCACATACATACCCTTCGGAAAATTGTACAGAACCTTTCAGCGGTGCCAAGTTGGCTGTCGGTATGTCGAAGTGCTGAAGCGTTTGTACAATAGGGCTACGATGGCTATCCGAGTACAGAACCAGAGTACGAAACCTGTTCAACTGCAGAGAGGTGTACGGTGACGTTATTACTGCGAAACTCTACACCGCTGCATTGGAAGACGTTTTCAAGGTACTGGACTAGAAAAGGTACGGTAATAACATCATTGGCGAGTACATCACTCACCTTCGATTTGCCGACGATATAGTACACACGGAAGAATCGCTATAAGACCTAAGCACTATGCTCAATGACCTCAATAGTGCAACCGAACGGATAGGTCTTAAGATGTACATGAACAAAACAAAGATCATGTGTAACGTCCATATCACACCTATGCCGGTAATTGTTGGGAGCACTAAGCTCGAAATTGTTGACGAGTATGTACCTTTACCTCGGACAAATACTCCGACTAAGTAAGTTCCACTTCGGCCAAGAGGTCAATCAACGGATTCAACAGTGCTGGGCAGCGTTCGGGAAATTACGACACATCTTCTCGTCAACTATAACTCAAAACCTGAAAACGATACTGTACAATCAGTATGTGTTGCCAGTGATGACTTGTGGAACTGAGACGTGGTCCTTCACTGCTGGTAGTAAGGTGGTCTCACACTCACTAACACACATTTATACTAACATGCATACTCACATGAACATAGTTCACTGCCATTAGAGCTGCAATTCAAATTAAATTTAAATTAAATCAAACCATTTTGCTTGTTAACCATTCTAACCTTCTAGATATAATATGGTTTACATAGTCTTATCTAGTAAGGGAAGTAGCGAGTTATTCCCAACTCAAGTGTCTATGACTACTTAAAGGGAAAACTCGTCGAATCTTTGTGGCAAGACTTTTGAAAATAAAGGAAAATTTTTATTATTTATTTATTTTAACCTAGAAGTGGCCACATCCCTCAGTTGGCGAATTCTCGCTAAAGCATAAGCAATTAAGCTAACTCGGCTTACCAAAAGTACTCGGTTAGCCAAAATTTTTATGTGAGGACACCATTGTAGTCCACAATTCACATTGATCCAAAATTACTGATTTTTTTTTCAACAAAATCTTATATATTATTTTGAAAGATAATGGTATTCGATCGTTGTTTTACATAAAGCAACACATAATGCACTAAATTCTTTTCGTGGAACTAATTTAATACCTTATCTAGAGCACTATTTATTTCACTTACGGTTTCAACTTTTGATTAACCTTATATATCAGTAAAGTTACCTTTGAACAACTGTATTAGTGAGCTTCTGTATTAAGAGTTGTAAATAATTTATATAGATAAGAAACGACAACGCGCCAAGAGTGGCCACTTTTGTGAATCTATTTTTATTACAAAACCTAAGAACTTACACCATTTATCTGGACTTTCTGAATACTATTACAAATATAAGAATTAATCTAACAAACAAAGAACTGCTTCATTCAAGCCCTAGTAAACAATTTTACTAAGTAGTGACGCAATCAAATTATTTAGATAGATCAAAAATATACCATTCGCATTCCGTCAATTCTCCTATAGCTGAATTAAATACACCCTTGCATCATTTAGTGAGCGCCCCTTATTACGTCCAAACTGTGCTGAGGAATTTATTTATACAAATTTAAAATAGAAGGCGTGGTGGGATGATGAGGTGCGGGTGGAAGTTGAATCAAAGAAGAAAGCATGGTTAGATTTACTAGCAACTAAAACTGGTAATTCTGGTGGTATGAATGATGAGATTGAAAGAAAAAAGGCAGAATTTAGACGTCTAAATAAGAGAGTAAAAGAAGTAGTTGAAAGGAAAAAGAAAGAAAGAACGGATAAGAATGATAGAAGGATATCTGATAATTTCCAGGCTAATATAAAAATGTTCTGGAAACTCGTAAGAACTGCCAGGGGAAATACAAAACAGCCTATAATTAATGCTATAAGAGACGTGGATGGATGTATTCTGAATGATGAAGTTTCGAATTTAAACAGATGGAAGGAATACTTTGAAAGCGTGTTTATGAGTGAAGAGTCGTCTGAATTAAATGAACAAGAAATTCCGAAAGAAGTGGAAAGAGGTATGGAGATAAGTGTAGGTGAAATAATGAAAGCAATGAAAAGCATGAAAGCAGGTAAGGCAGCTGGATATGACAGAGTATCACTCGAGATGCTAAGGGCTGGAGAGGGAGTGGTGGCAGGCCTGCTGTTCACTTTGTTTAATTTATGCTGGGAACTGAAGCGGGTACCGATAGACTGGTGCAAAGCCGTGATAGTCCCAGTATATAAAGGAAGAGGGTCGCAGCAGGACTGTAAAAACTACCGTGGCATCAGCTTGCTTAGTATTGTGGGCAAACTGTATGCTAAGGTGTTAATTGAAAGAGTTATGAAAGAAACTGATGGAAAAATTTGGGATGTGCAAGCGGGTTTTAGGAACGGAATGCGGTGTACAGATCAAGTCTTTTCCATGCGCATGATTGTGGAGAAGTTTTGGGCTAAAAACCAGAAAGTTTTTTGTGCGTTCATGGACTTGGAAAAGGCTTATGACAGAGTGGACAGGAATGTGTTATGGCAAACACTGAACTCATATGGGTTGAACGCTGTTTTGATACAGGCATTGAGGTCTCTTTATAGGGATTCTAGTGCTTGTGTCAGGATCAATGGGGTCTACTCGGACTGGTTTGGCATCCGAAAGGGTGTCAGACAGGGCTGTGTGGCTTCCCCTTGGCTGTTCAACCTATTTATGGACAGGTGTTTGCAAACTTTGAAAGATGAAGAATGTGGGTTAAGAATGGGCGAGTTAA